CGGAATGTCCACCCGCTACGAGATTCTTACCGAATACACACATTCAGATCGGAGAACGACTGGAAAGTCGGACCGCGCCGATAGGCGGGCCGGGGTCGGCTCCAGGTCGAGCGGCCGCCCGGCTGCCTGGACAGTGGGGAGCCGACCCGCGAGGCGATCGAGACGGCCCTCCTGGAGCAGAGGGTCTGAAGGGGGACTGCACCGTCGCTTATGAGCGCTCCCCCGACCGCCACCCCGCTCCCACCACCTACTCCAGGTTGGTAGGACGGGCCATAAAGGTCGGTGGGGGCGCTCTTGCGGTCGTTATCCTGACGGCTCCAGGGGATGCTAGGTGTGTCCTTTATCACTCCTGATTTCTTTCTGTACAATTGTTCTTTCTTCTCAAACTTAAATAAATTGTAAATAATTTGAATAACATTGTTTTTCTGTTTTCATTCAGAGGGCCTGGACACATCGGCCCCCGACCCCAGGACGATGACCACCCCCACACCATCAGGAGGTGCTCCGAAATTGCGGTTACCCATCGTCAATTATCTACACTTGGCAGGCGACTATCGGGGCGATCCTTCTCCAGGGTGGTTCCAGCTCTGCGCTAGTGTACGAAAGCTGGACACAATAATTGTGGAAGAAACAGTCTTCTGGAGACCTTAATATGGACTTTCCTTTCTTGCGGCGTATGGCCTCTTTGGACATGGAGCCAGCCCAGAGCTGGCTCCCTCTGCCCGAGAAAGATCCGCGGGTCGCGGGATGGCTGATGTTGGGGAATCCCACCCCGATTGTGTCGATCCTCACCGTCGATGTTTACATCGTTAAGGTCAGGAACCCTTCCATTCCGGAATTTCACTGGGACATAAGTGAGAAGAGTAATAATACTTGTGCTCAGAATCCGGAGATTTAAATAACAATGGGGACATTCCTTTGATGCTAGGTTCTCAGCCCGGGCATAATGAGGAACGCCAAAGCTTACGAGCTCCGTCCAGTGATTCTGTTGTACAACGCGGCTATGGTTATCGCGAACTTATCGATATCCACCTACGTCATTTACCACGCATTCTGGACAGGTGAGATTCTCAACACTAAACGCCGTGACTTCCAGCTTCCATCGTATCCGCTCATACGTCAGCCTCGCTTCGCGGCTCCCCGCAATGAGGCCAATAAGCTCCGATTGAGTCGGGATCCCCAGGCTCTACCGGGAACGGTCAATCTTTCCAAGATGCCTTCGTCTCCTCATGTCCGCGTGAATCGAGAACTCGAAGGGCAGATTTTACGTTGCGGACCTCGTTTTGGCGGAAGTTCCCCTCTATGCAGCGACTCGCTCGAGCGTTCAAGGGGGTCCACGGTCATATTCCATGACAGTAGAAGCCTCCCCGGGCAAGTTTGACCAGAAGAGAAGTCGAGCGCGAAGGCTCTGCTCTTCTGGAAAACAGGGGACCGATTTGGCACCGTATCCGATCCCGGACGCGAATGCGGGGATGACAAATTGCCGAGCTTCGCGCGGAGAGCCGGTGTAGTCTGATGAGTGATATGTATATTCGAAGATAAGTAGAAATGGATGCACGAGAAGTTCCATGGTGGAACTGGAGAAAGTCTGGTGTAAAACTTCTGTTCTTTGTTTACAGATCATGGCCTCGCTCGACATGGGACTTACTCAGAGTTGGCTGCCCTTGCCTGAAAAAGATTCCCGGGTAGAGGGATGGCTCATGCTCGGAAATCCCACCCCGATCGTGGTGATCTTAGCCTTCTATGTATACATCGTCAAGGTGAGTGGACCTGCATGACTTTTCGGGAACGGCTCTTCTTGAGCGCTTCCTGGGAGACTTCGGCTCCGAGGGAATATATCCATTCTCCGAGTAGAGATTCGAGGTCTCATCTGAGACGAATCTCTCATTGGAATCGGAATGTCCACCCGCTACGAGATTCTTACCGAATACACACATTCAGATCGGAGAACGACTGGAAAGTCGGACCGCGCCGATAGGCGGGCCGGGGTCGGCTCCAGGTCGAGCGGCCGCCCGGCTGCCTGGACAGTGGGAAGCCGACCCGCGAGGCGATCGAGACGGCCCTCCTGGAGCAGAGGGTCTGAAGGGGGACTGCACCGTCGCTTATGAGCGCTCCCCCGACCGCCACCCCGCTCCCACCACCTACTCCAGGTTGGTAGGACGGGCCATAAAGGTCTGTGGGGGCGCTCTTGCGGTCGTCCTCCTGACGGCCCTCGTAAGGCTCCAGGGGATGCTAGGTGTGTCCTTTATCACTCCTGATTTCTTTCTGTACAATTGTTCTTCCTTCTCAAACTCAAATAAATTGTAAATAATTTGAATAACATTGTTTTTCTGTTTTCATTCAGAGGGCCTGGACACATCGGCCCCCGTCCCCAGGACGATGACCACCCCCATACCATCAGGAGGTGCGAGTCCATTTCCCCAGAGGACGGGGACGACAGATGAGCTGGATGGATTAGTAGGCTCGGGGGTATCTGATGCTCCCGAGCTGAACTTCCCGATCCAGCATCTCACGTGTGGGGCCGGGGGCCCTCACGTGATATGCAGCAGCGTTGTGGGAAGGGGGGTCCGCCCGGACCCGCCCCTCTTACGAAAGAAAGAGGGGCGGGTCTCTCTGACTGGCGTGACCCGCGCATATAACTTTCTCCAAATCGTGGCATCGATGGCGTTCGCCGTGAAAATTGCTCATCATTTTTACTTCCGGATGGGTCAACCGTTTTTATGCTCACCTCCAGACTGGGCTTTCCAACGGATCGGATCCGCGAATCCGACTCCGCGGAGATCCGCAAGATTTTTGCGGATCCGGATCCGCAGGATCCGCGACCCCTATCCGGATTGGGATCCGCAATATCCCATAGTCGTAACTCAACCTTGTGATATACTTGATGAAAGTACGTGGTCATAAAGTAAAATTGTGTATATCCGATTCGAAGTCCGTATTCTTTCGCTCCCCCTCATGATTTCAAGACCTATGGAGCTCACTCTTGACATCTCAAGAAGATTGCAATTTGCAACATCAGACAAAGCTTCGGGAGTTCTAAAACTCGATGGACATGCTCGTCTCCTAGATCACTCATGGTGAAATATCATGCGCCTTGGTCAGTTTCAAGCATCTCCGAGCATTTTCGCGCTTGACGGGAAATCCTCGATATGCGGATTTTATCCGCGGATCCAGGCTTGACAGATCCGCGGATCCGAGATCCGCGAATTTAAAATTTTGCGGATTTCTGGAAGGCCTACTCCAGACCGACGCGAGGACAGCCTTACGCTCGAGCTGCTTGACATAACATTTTATTACTGGTGTCTACGGGCGATCGACTTCCTGGATACCGTGTTCTTCATATTACGCAAAAAACAACGTCAAATTACGTTCCTCCACATTTTTCATCTAGTAGTCGTTGTATGACCTTCTTGATGATGCCGAGACTTTCGAGTTCTTTCAGGCGTTCGACGATTTGTCCTCTGATCGAGATGGGTGTTCTTCGCTGAGGTTGCTGTTGAGGTTTCACGTTCTTATCCAGAATCAGCGTCACCGGTTTTTCGAATTCACCAAGACCGATGAAAACGTCAGCGTACTTTTCGAGCAGCCATGTGAGTTTGTTCTGTTGCTCAGAGGTTGCTACGTTGATTTGTTCTACCCGGGGATTGAAGTCGTAATATTCAACCTTCGGCACCAGCCTCCCGAGAACAGAGTGCTCGCCTCTGACGCAACGACTTGGAAGGGCATTCGGTAACTCTTGCCCTCGAATGAGCACGACATCACAAATCTTCCCAAGGATTGTATGGTGGAATCGTTGTACATTTTCAAGCGACTAGACTCCGCTGTGTTGATGCTTGAGGCTGCTCCTCATTCTTCTAGTTTCTTGAAAGTCGGCAGGCCTATGAGATTGCATGTTGCCCCGCTATCAATTTGACCGCGCAGCTTTTTCTCGTTTGAGAGATCCAGTGTGACGAAAAATCTCCGTTTGATTTGCGGCTCGCTCGTCATGGTGAATACGTCGTCCACTTCCGAACTTGTCTCCGAGGCTTCCTCAACTTGTTTCGCGTGGTCCGTTCTGTGACACATAGTTTCGAAGTGACGATACTTCTTGCAAATTGAGCATCTGTACGAGAAAGCCGGGCATTTCTTTGGCTCGTGCCTGCTCCCACAATTGCCGCAGGATTGAAGCGGTCGAGTGTCGTTCTTCTGTTGAATTCGTCTCCCTCTATAGGCCTGACGTTCAAATCTTGATGACGCTGGGAACTTCCGTGAGAAGTTGACGGTGCCCGAACTTGCTTGACTGACATTGCCACTAATTTCGTTGAGCGTTTTGTGGTTATCTTCGAAAAGTCTCAGAGTTTGCAGCACGCTTTCCACCGTTTGCTCCTTGTTCTCTTTGAAGACTGCTTCTCTAGCGTCGTTCATATGCGTGCCGAGCACTAGTTGATCTCTGATCATTTGAGATTCGAGTCCTTCGTAGCGGCATCGCTTCGCCATCTTGACAACTCTATCGAAGAAGTCGTCCGTGGTTTCCGCATTCGTCTGTTTATGGAATACGTAACGCCGATGGAGTATGTTGATATGTTTTTCGAATCGCGCGTTCAGGGTGTCGAATATCTTCGTCAACGTCCGACACATGAGCTCACCATTGGGATTCGCTTTGTCATTCTCGATGACGGCCCCTAGGCCTAGGTTCCGCAGGAGCTCTCTGTTCTGCTCACCGAAACAAGACCGAAAGGTTGCCACTTGTCTTTCTGGCGAGGTCGAGTAGATATTCTCGAGTAAAGCGAAATCTTGGAAACTTTCCTTGAAGTTGAGCCACCTGTCACTGTTATCTTCTCCCGCCGATACGTGCATCGGCGAAGGCCGAACACTCTTGGTCCTTTTCGGACCTGTCCCTTCAACGGACGTGCCATTCTCGATGTCTTCGGTGTTCATCGTTTCCTGAGGGGTTTGGTTCGCTTGCGACTGCGCCATGTTGGGAGATCGACGATAGAAAACACGTATTTCCGTAGGAAACTCCTACGGAACTGTTTCCAACTGTCACTAACTTATCTATCGTTTCCTCCGATGGAGCCGAATTCAGGCTCCGAGTCTGTCGAGGAAGCAGATTAGACTTTGAGCTAGCAAAAGAAAGCTATTTGGAGTCTAAAGCCAAAATTTGTCGGGCCAGCGCCAATCCGAACGGCGTCACTTCATCGGTCTCGATTAGCAGCACTTTCAAAAGTAGGTATCGAGCCGTCCGGTTGTTCCGGGTGGATTCGACTGTATATATCCTTTAACCAATGTGAGTCAGCTCACGTGAGCCTTCCTAATTTGGACATGAGGTATCCGACGAACTGAGACTAGTTGCGCTAACCGACAGCCTCAATTATTCACTAAGGACTCTTCTCGTCGTCTACCCGTTCATCGAGGTTGTTGTTCTGCGCTGCTTTTTGAGCGGCCCGCTCCTGGAGTTCCTATCCGCGCTTCCGACGGTATGACTGTATGTAGAAGTGGAAGAATTGGAGGAAGAAGACGAAGCACTGGAACAACATGAATGCGGGCAATGCGGAGTATCTGGAAGAGGAATGGAGCGTTCACGAATTTTTCTCCTTTTGAATCTGATGATGGGGAAGGGGTCTAAATTATCCCGATATTAGCGAGTGGAGAATATCCCGAACAATTCAACGTCAAGAACCGTGAGCCAGAGTCCGGTCGAGATTCGGAATTTCGAATCGAGAGCGAGGAATTCCCTGCTCTTTCTTCGAGCGAATGAAAGCGAAATCGTCCGAAATTCCCATGAAGGGGTGGTTCGTAAATGATTTCCGCTCAGAGTCATAGCTTCGAGACGAAGCGGTACTGGTTCACCCTTGGAGCTAGTTCGTTGCGGATGCGGCCTGCAAGCCAAATCTCCCGATGCGGATTGCTTGACCGATGTGGAAGGTTTTCTGCATCGCTAATGCCCGAAGGGGCCCGCTCCAGAACTCCTCGTTCGGAGTAAATCAGCACTGTTTGTGCTCGCTGCGGCCTTCGACATCACGATGAATATTTATCCCCCGTCTAGGCTAGCTCCGCTGGAACTACCAATAACCTGTTCTTACGAACAGGCTCAGAGCTCATTCTTTTGAGCGATGAATTCGATGTCTTTGGAAAGGAAAGACTTCCTTCCGTCGGTCGCATTCGGACCCAGTCGCGCAATCATTCTCCACGAGGTTCTTCATTGAGATCATGTTCTGATGCACTCAACGGAGCGAGCGCATACGCGACCGAAGCAGCTCAATCATGAGCGAGACGCGCAAGACCCGTCCCGAGTTCATCGTCCCTGACTGATGCGGTCAGGACCGCTCCGACGAGTTCCCTTGCACCCGTCTTCTCGACGGCTGAGCTGCGAGAGAATGATCTCGGAGTATCGCGGTATAATTGACGCGGATCTAATGAGACGGCGATCGACCTGCCTGTCGACTGCTCGCGAGATTTGGGTGCAGTGAATCCAGGCAGGGATTCAGCCGCGTTGGTTCTGTCTTTGGACCTTTGAGATCGCAGGCTTTGCTACTCCTCGCTCGAAAACATTGGGTGCGCGGGTCCTATCAAGAGGATTCCTCGTCTCAGGCTGAAATATGAATCGGAAATCTCACCTGTTATTGAGCCAGAACACGAGCATGATGTTACGTGCGATCATGATAGCGAATTGAACGAGCTGCAAAATGGTGATGTATTTCTTCCACCAGAGGTATTTCTTGATAGAAGGGCCGCAGGCGGACAGGAAGTAGTAGCCGTACATCACAACATGGATCAAGGCATTGAAAGTGAGCTCAAAGCACGCAAGGGCGAAACCCCCATAGGTGATGTAGAAGTAAACCGAAAACGTGACCGAGACGTGATGGAAAACGTGTAGAGTGGAAACCTGCGGCAAAATCCATTATTCATTAGAGGCATATCTCGTTCGGTTCGGAAGAGCGAGGGAGAATCTCGGAGTACGTATCTTACCTGTCTGAAACGTTTCCTCAGGACGAAAAGTACAGTTTCAATGCACTCCGTCAAGCGCAGGACGAGGTAATACCAGGACACGTTCAGCAGCAGGAGTGTCGTGGGGTGATCTCCGCGGTCCGGCGTAGTGAACCACATGGCATAGTGACCTGAAGGGGATCAACACTCGTCACGAGGAGCCTGGCGATGGTCGTATAGCGATATAACGGATAATAAATTATGATGAGCCTCGAATGCAGTCTTGAGGAAAGAAAAAACATCATCTTGTTCCCGCCATCGGTGATGGACTGCTCAAGTTGGAGATGTCAGTGAACAGAAAATGAGGCTTCCATTCGGAGACCGTGACGGCATTCGAAATTTCCGAGCTTTTGATGGATTGGTAAAAGCCATTCGTAGCTGATGTTCCTGACTGCATGGAGAAGCGAATTACTTCATTCCAGAATTCCACTGAGAATCTCTCCAAGTGCGTCAGAGCGAGCTCGTTTGCGGATGCGCCGAAGCGGGTGAAAAATAACCCCGTGACCGAGCCACTCAGAAAAGTCAAAAGGCTCGAATTCGGAATTATACGGCGTGTCTTTTTTCGAGAGCCCCGCGCCTCGTGGTCCATCCCTGGAACTTGACTCCCCGCAGTCAGTCGCTGCATAGAGGGGAACTTCTGCCAAAACGAGGTCCGCAACGTGAAATCTGCCCTTCGAGTTCTCGATTCACGCGGACATGAGGAGGCGAAGGCATTCTTGGAAAGATTGACCGTTCCCGGTAGAGCCTGGGAATTCCGACTCAATCGGAGCTTATTGGCCTCATTGCGGGGAGTCGCGAAGCGAGGCTGACGTATGAGCGGATACGATGGAAGCTGGAAGTCATGGCGTTTAGTGTTGGGAATCTCACCTGTCCAGAATGCGTGGTAAATGACGTAGGTGGATATCGACAAGTTCGCGATAACCATGGCCGCGTTGTAGAACAGAATCAATGGACGGAGCTCGTAAGCTTTGGCGTTCCTCATTATGCCCGGGGTGAGAACCTAGCATCAAAGGAATGTCCCCATTGTTATTTAAATCTTCGGATTCTGAGCACAAGTATTATTACTCTTCTCACTTATGTCCCAGTGAAATTCCGGAATGGAAGGGTTCCTGACCTTCACGATGTAAACATAGAAGGCGAGGATCGACACAATCGGGGTGGGATTCCCCAACATCAGCCATCCCGCGACCCGCGGATCTCTCTCTGGCAGAGGGAGCCAGCTCTGGGTCGGCTCCATGTCCAAAGACGCCATGCGCTGCAAGCAATGGAAGTCCATATTAAGGGCTCTAGAAGACTGTTTCTTCCACAATTATTGTGTCCAGCTTTCGTACACTAGCGCAGAGCTGGAACCACCCTGGAGAAGATATCCCCGTCGCACGATAGCAGTAATGTATTTAGAGATGCACACATGTGATACTTCGGGGGGCCGCGAAGACAAAACCTTTTGCGAGGTCTCGTATGTTCTTATGTACCTATCCGTCGGGAGATGAACTGCGTAGACTATGTACACTCTAACAATTAGGTGCGAGGGTATTGGTTCTCATCGACTCGCCCGGAAGCGCGGCTCGATGTTATGAGTCCCGCAGTTCTGAGGCGGCGCCTCGGGAGTTTCGATGAGATTCAGAGCTGGGGTTTGTTATGGCTGTCGATTGGATATAGATGGGCCTGACGAATTGCAGGAGGAGTGAGATTCGCCATATTCGCTAGCGTTCGTCTCAACTCGTCTTCGCAAGCCGACCCTAAAAGGAGCGATGTGAATATTTCAAGAAGTGCTAATCTAGGCTCAAAAGCCCTCATCCCCTAATCCTTGAGAATTCGTACCACCTTGGTGATATAGGCCTGCTAACGATTTTTGGGGCAAATACTCATATAGGTGAATCCTCGGTCGTCTCGGGACTATATCGCTGCGCGCCGGTCGAACCTCAGTCAATCCACCCATTACTCTAGAATTCTCAGAAATACGCTTGGATACCGATTCGCACTGATCTAGACTTTTAGACCATGGGATCCGGGATCGGATGCTCCCCGAGACTGCGGCGCTGCCAGCTCGAGCTGCCCGATCTTGAGCTTGATGGCTGAGTGGTGGGTTTCGGAAGCCCGTCTCCGCACAGTGCAGCCTCACCCGAGGAGGATCATTCATACTCTCCTCCGAGGGTTCACATCGCCGCATAATGTCATAGGATGTGAGTTTTCACGCGAGCCAGCCCCTCACCAGCGGGGAATCTGATTGTGAGATGATGCCGCGGGATGCATTGGGCCAGCGGTGTGAGCCGCAGCGTTTCGCACCGGAGTTCGGCTCCCCGAGCTCTCAGACTCGCACCAGAAGCGAAAGAGCTCGCGAGGGCGAGATTTCCAACGTGCGTCGAATCAGAATGATTCTCGAGCTACTGCTACGGCCCGCGTGAATTTCGCCGACCATGTGGATCTTGGGGTACAGTCGATCAAGCCTGCCGTGAAATTGCAACTCGCCGGCTGAGGCGCCCTGTCCGAATCTCCGGGATTCATTACCGTCAGAGCGAGAGTATAGATTGAGGGATCGTGTGGTCACCGGCAATGAAGACAGTCGCCCCGGAAACACCGATTGCAAGCCACTGTGATGGCCGACAATCCCCGGAAGACGCGCTGAGACAACAGCTAGCTCCTATCGCTCGCTCGATGCCAGTCCTTATTTTCTCCCCGGGGAGCTTAGCGGTCGACCGTGCATTGTGAGGAATGTGCCGCGAATAGATGCGGCATCTCTAGTTGGCGTTCCTTGTAACTCAACCTTGATTCTAGATTGATGGAAGCCAAGATGGATATTTTCCTCTTGTTGCTGATTCCCGGCTTCTTTATCAAATCTTCCGCGACACCGCGAAGATCGTCACTTCACTCGGAAAGCTCTCCGAATGCGGAAAAGAATTGCGAAGTCTCAGGGCTCGTATTCTGAAGTTCGATAATTTCTTCCGGAGGTTGCCTCCGTCCTCACCCAGAGAGTCCAGGCTGTGGGTCTCTCGTGAGGCAGGAGCTCACAGAGCGTCGATGTCTATCTTTGCTCATGTGCATCGAAGTTTTGAGCGAAGCATCTATAAGTAAGTGCTCAAGCATCTCCGGGAGCTCGAAGATGAGCCGACTCGAATCATGGCTGACATTGCCCGGCAAGCCGCCGCGACGAATGCATTGCCCTCACCTCTTCGTGACCGTGATGGCGATATGCGATGCAGTTAATGAGCTTCAAGAGACAATCTACGAGGCATGTATGACACAGGGCGAGAGAATCGTCGGTTTCTCTCTCTCGTGTAACCGAAAAGGGAAGGACCGAATGGGTTGGATGGAGACTTTCGCCTTCGGAGGAAGCGCCCGATACGGAACAAGTTTCTCCCCCTTGAAATCCATTCCCGAACCACGTCGAAGTCGAAAGCTACCGAGGAAATCTTCTGAGAAGCGCAAAGTTCCTTTCTGTTATGATCCGACGAAACTCTAAACAAACACAGCACTCAGGGAAATAAACTACGATCTCACTCTTTAGAGTCGATCATTTTTCGCGGGAGTTCCAAATCGTCTCTACATGGGATCAAGACCACTCTCGCTTCAGCTCCGTGTGCAGCCCCGAGATTCCTTTGTGAGGCGGGCGAACACCGCCGACGGCTTGACGTCTCATGAGTCGAGGACCTTTGATTATCCTTCCTTTCCCAGGTTCGGAGTGATCAAAGGATTCGAAACAGGGTTCCACATAAGAACGGCTCACATGAGGTAGGCTTCCAGCAATGAAACCGCTGATATTTCCCGAATCTCGAACGAGGATGAGGTGGCTCTTCGGACAAACCTCACATGGGGGAAATCATACCGCGGACCCTGGCTCGCAAGATAGGTTTAGAACAATTGATTGCCTTGAAGATCGTGCGGTGCTTCGCGAGGGAAGATGCTCTGGACCTCCCGAGCGCTCGTGAATCCTGCAGTTGTTCTGTTAACTCCTCCTTCTGCATTGAAGGATGGGACCGATCCTTGAATCGAACGAGGTGTACCGATGTACGTGCTCGCAAATGCAGAGAAATCCTTCGCTCGGTGTGCGGAAATCGTTTAGAAAACGACGCAGTGTCCTCGACAACATAGGTCGTTGGAATGGATAAAAATTTCTCCGGTGGCTTTTACGCGCAGCAACGTGAGCACGCATTTGACCAGAAAGCCAGTCAAGCATCCGTCCGACCGTTCAACAAAACAAGCGAGCAGGCAAAAACAGTACAATCAAGACAGTGTCCAGGCGACCAACCGAACAAGGCGGTCACGCAGTGAGTCAATGAAGCAACGTCGACAAGGCCGTTAGTGGATTCCTTGCATTGACTTGGAACGATCAAATCTGTTTTTCAGAGGCAATGAACGAGCAATCGTTCTTCAGGATTCAGGAGACACGTTCATGAATCGCGGCGTCGTGAGGAATATTGAGAGAGAGTGTAGTATTATAAGTTCAGTGTTTGATTCAACTTGTTTATCCGCGAGGGTCCCCCGGGAAAGTCACACAGACACAGAAAATGCCGGATCGAATATGAAGTTTCATTGGAGCAGATAAGGCAAATAATTCGCAGCCTCAATCAATGAGCTTTCTTCTGGCAGCATTCCCAGTAAGACCCGATCAAGCGCGAATTCAGCCGGCCGCCGCCGGGACGCTGGAGGTCATGACAGAATCCGCCGAGGCTTCCCTCCGGGATTCTGGGAATCGGATCAACTTGCCAATCGCGGAATAATGGAGCTGAGTAGCATATCGGAAGATTTCGACTCAAGTAAACAATTCGCGAGATTCTCGCCTGGAGCTTCTCGGGAGCAAGTTCCTATCTAGATTTCCCTGGCCGTGGACCTGAACACCGATAGCGGCTCGTGAGACTTAGAAGCGGCCCGGATGGAAGCTTCGATATTCTCGACGCTGAGGATGCGCTCAACAACATACGACAGGAAGAAGACTCGTCTCAGCGGGATTAGAGCAAGCGCGAGATCGTCTCGAATGGGTAATCCGACCATCGTCTTGGCAATGAATTCGCACAATTGATGAGTCGCTCGGAAGGCTAGTCTGGAAGCGGATCCAAGAACCTAGGGAATGGGATATCTCAAAGTTCCCGCTCCTGACAATGTGGGCCCGCTCACGGTAGCATGAATCGATGTTTTGATGGAACCTTTGCTCTGCCCGTGCCGCTCGTCTGGGCCAAGATCGAAGCAGTGTCCGCCGTATTGCTCCCAGAGTGAGGGGGAATCGACCTAAGAATTCAATTGAAGGAGATTTCACGCGGGCGTTCTGATTCGCTGATAGATGCTCGAAATACCTTTTGAAACTCGATAGATCGCAGTAGATAGATACATGCTGATGAATGCTTCCCGCGTCAAGCCCGCGGTCGGATAAACACTCAGCGCTGACAGTTCAATTGATCGTTCTATTATTCACAAGCGCAATGAGCAATCGGAATTCATGGGTCGAAGAGTGGTTGAGTCGTCCTGTCGATGACTCGAATACGGCCGTCTCTGGACAAAGTCTTTCACGAATCCGGACTGAGGAGAGGGGTCAAAGCAGCGGCGAAGGTTGAATTCGACGTGGTATAAGATTCGAATTTCTTCCGATCGAATATGGGCATTCTATCGAATTTCATCAAATATTTCGAAGAAACATGGATTGGCCGAGATTTCAGTGCGCCGGTGTTTCGATTGGAATGGTGGAATGCGTATGAGGTTACTTTACGTGGAGAGGCCAGGACAAACAACGCCTTCGAATCGTGGCACTCCGCGTTTGCTCGGAGATTAGGCTCAAGTCATCCTACTTTTTATACTTTGCTAGAAAAGCTCCAAATTGAGCAAGGAATGACGGAATTTCGCATAACCAATACAGGGGCCCAAGGGAACGATACGATTCCCAAGCGCATCTATAGAGATAGACAGAAACGATTGCGCGAAATTGTGTTAGCTTGTGAAAGCTACGATAGACTGCGCTATCTCAAGGCAATTGCCCACAATATAAAATTTTAGAGTCAAACTTCGAAATTCGCAGAAAGTA